TCCCCAGCAGCCTCGAAAGTGGCGACAGTTTCACAGATCGCAGCCCCCCAGGGATGGCGAGGTCTAATCTGAATCCCCGTAGGGCGTCACTCCGCTGGGCTCCCCAGCAGCCTCGAAACTGGCGACTTTCACAGATCGCAGCCCCCCAGAGACGGCGAGGTCTAATCTGAGTCCCCGTGGGGCGCCACTCCGCTGGCCACCCCAGCAACCCTCGAAACTGGCGACAGTTTCACAGATCGCCGCCCCCCAGGGATGGCGAGCGGCAAGCTAGGTTGGTAAAAGGCAAGCGAGACGAAGAGGGGAGAGAGGAGGCGGGAGGAGGAGGAGGTGGAGACCACAGTGCTCTATTCAAAACGAGTACCCAACGCAGGAGGGTTGGGAAAAAGGGAAGCGACTGGAACCAGTGCTGCTTGGCAAGATTGTCGGGTCACCTCCTCCCAGAGGGACAAAGAATATCAGCGACATGCCGCCGTGGGGAACTCATCAGTGTGCTGCTGTTGCGGGGGCGTGAGGCCTTCGGACACGCACGAAGGCGTAGAATGAGGACGGTCCCCCAACGGCGGCATGTCATTGATGCTGTTTGTTGGCGGCGAGCGAGGGGGGGGGTGAGACGGAGAAGGCCTTCTCAGAAGGCGGCGGGATTTCGCAGACGCCCCCATGTCGCCTGCTGAGAAGTGCTTGTTCTGTCCCCGGGGAAGGCTTACAAACAACTTCTCTCAGACGGCCGTGGGATTTCCGAAGCTTCTGAGAATGCGGTATCCTTCTCACTTCCCCCCCTTCGCTCGCCGCCGACCTTCGTCCTCCCACAGGGAGGCGGAGATTCAGATGGCCTCAGCCCCTCACGGGGCCCAGGAAGCTCCAAGGGCGGTCAGCATGGCGCGAGGCGCCGAGAGCACTGTTGGGCAGGGAGCGCCTCTGGCAGCCTCCGACGGGTGGTGGGGCAGGTGGGGAGGTCGATGAGGCGGGAGAGAGAGAGAGAGAGAGAGACACACACACACACACATGCACACGAAGACAGACAGAGGGAGAGAGAGAGAGAGAGAGAGAGATTGGCATAACGGAGACTGGCCAATTCCACTCAGCACCCCTTCGCCGTATGGCGAAGAAGCGGGGGGGATGAGGAGGGGAGAGCGAGCGAGCGAACGAACTCGGCAGCAGCTCGGCCTCAGCGCAGAGAGCACGGGCCTGGGAGCGTCGGGCGCCTGTCAGCGTCATTAATTGCTGCTGGTAGAGGAGGGGAGAGGAGGTCGAGGAGGATGAGGAAAAGAATGAGCGAGGAGGAGAAGGTGGGAGGGGCAATGCTGCAATACTCCCTGCCGTCCCAAAGTCCCCCCCTTCACAGGTCCCTACGAGGCTTCCTCTTCACTACAAGAGGCGTCCCCTTGAAAGACCATGGCCCATGGGCCTACCATTCAGGCGCGGCCGCCGTCTAGCGCAGAATCAGGGAAGCAAGACGCATGATCACACATCTCAACGAGGCGTCCAGCGAGATCCCCGTTCGGAAAGCACCACCACCCCACCCATGTTACTGTTGCACACGCCTACAACTCTGGCCGTGACATTCGGAGCGGACTCAAGGGAGAGTCTCATGTTGAAACTAATGTTGAAGTCCCAAGAATGGTGTTCTGGTAGGGTTCAGAGTCGCCCCTACGCATAAGTCATGTTGATTCGTGGCGGTGGAGTCCCGACAATGATGTGTTGGCACGCTTCAGGGTCTTCAAGAGGTTGTCTCTCAACACGGCACTTCCCTCAGTAGAAATTAGCCCTTGTAGGAACCTGCAGGGCTATTCCAACATCGGTTGTTCCTCCTCCTCCTCCTCCTCCTCCTCCTCCTCCTCCGCCTCCTGATGTTCCTCCTCCTCGCCCACCTCCTCCTCCTCCTGCTGGCACATGCCATGAGCCGCAGTAAAGTTCGGATGTCCTCAATGACCTCGTAAAAAACGGCTCGCCCTTGTGGTGCCGCGGACTGGGCCACCCTGTAACGGGCAGGTGCGCGGTAGCTTGAAACGGCAGCGCGCAAGGTACAGGGCGTGAGCATTGATGCCAAACTCACACGCGGCACCGGCCGGAGACTGTGGACTTGAGACCGGGGCTCGAGAGGAGATCGGCGGAGGGGGAGACGTTAAGAATCTCCGCATAATAATCCGTGACTCTGGGACACACGGAATGGCGAAGCACAAGATCGCGCTCACACGCAAGGATGAAGTTACATCAATCACAGTCTACTTGAAGTCCCGCAGCCATGGCCCAGCTCCCGAACATCGAGTTGATGCACGAGAAACTTCAAGCTGAAAGCATACAGCAGCACGCCTCCTGCGCCTCACCCCGCTCGATTAGGTCAACGTCGTGTTCTAGATGCGGGAACCAGTTTTGAAACGAGACATCAAAGTGGCAAGGACTGCTCGATGCAAGAGAGAGCCCGAGAGAGATGTCACGGCACAGGGCGCTTCGAGGCGCCGGCCGGGGGTCAGCCGCTGGAGGCGGGCCCCTGAGCAGCCCAGGATCGGATGGGAAATCTCGATCGCAGCGCGGCCACACGGGGCGAGCGCAGCCGACAGTGGGAACCCACGGGGCAGCTGCACGCATGTGCTCAACAGGACTGACGTCTGCCCAGAGGGGCGGTGATCAGTGGTCCGCGCACACGGACGGGAGCGCGCGCCGAGCGGTCGCTGCGGCGCCCACGCGCTCAGATGTGCGCGGCCATCCTCGGAATGCCCGGAGAAAAGGCGCGCATTCGACTGGTACGTTCGATGGCCAGTCCGATCGTCCGATTGGAACGAAAAAGGCGTGCATGTCGACAATGCAAGTTCTCCTAAAATTGAATGGAGCGATGTTTCCGGACCGCCTGACTGAGCTGGTGCTGTTTTCTCGGCCCCTCCCTCCCTCCCTCCCCCTCCCCCCCCTCCTCTTCCCCCTCCGTGCCGCATGGCTTTTTCGCGCTAGTACAACGTGTTTGTGCACTCTGGCGACAAGGGGCGTCCTCAGGGGGGGGGGCCAGGAAGTGGGTCGTCGTCTTGGAGTCGGAGGGGTCGCCCTCCATGTTGATATCTTCGCTCGGGACCTGGAACTGCTGGAACAAAGGGCTGGGAACTTACATGAATCTTCTTTGTATACGACGACCTTCGCCCGAACAATGATGATTGTCGCGTCGGGTCCGCGAGTGAAACTGTCGCCAAAGATGGGCTGCACGCTGGGACGCTCGGTCTGCATGCTGCCGGCCAGTCTTGCCCTCCAGCGCGGAGAGATGCGAGCTCTCTGGACATGTGTGGTGGCTTCCACTGGGGAAATCCTCCGCTCCATCTGCTCGCCGAGGGTCTTGCACGAAGTCTGCACTGCAGATGCGCGGGTAGATGCGGGTGCCTCCATGGAGCGGATGGCCGCCATGATGGTGTCTTTGATGTTGTCCACATGATGCTTGCTGCCGTCATCGGCGGGACGCTCGCCTGGGGGAAGGCCGGAAGATGAGGGACAGCATCCACGAGAAGCCGAAGGCGCCTGTGCATGTGGCTGCGGCAGCACACGCCCTGGGGCGCAAGTGGCACCAATGCCTCCTCCACCGCGTCGGTCTCCACGAGGTGACGCCTGCGGCGTCGCGGAGCGCCGAGCATCACCGCGACTACAGCCAGGAGAACGAAAACGGTGGTCTCCCTCTGCAGGAGCGTCAGCGGAGTGTGCGCAAGGGCCGCGCGTCGCCGTGGCAGCACCTGGGAAGGACAAGAATTGCTGAAGGACGTGGTGACAGGTGACAGGATCCCCAACAGGGGTGTGAAAGGAATGCGTCTAGGCATTCCCATCGATGGTTGTCGCACACAGCGGCTATCTACGGTATAAGCCCCACGACTCGGGATTTCAGCCTTGAGCCAAAATGGCTTGAACCTAAATGGCTCTGGCCTCCTCCTCCTCCTCCTCCTCCATTTCCTCCTCCTCCTCCTCCTCCATCCTCCTCCTCCTCCTCCTCCTCCTCCTCCTCCTCCTCCTCCTCCTCCTCCTCCTCATCATCATCATCATCATCATCATCATCATCATCATCATCATCATCATCATCATCATCATCATCATCATCATCATCATCAGCATCATCATCATCATCATCATCATCATCATCGTCATCATCACCATCAGCAGCAGCATCATCATCATCGTCATCATCATCATCATTATCATCATCACCATCATCATCATCATCACCATCATCATCAGCATCAGCATCATCAGCATCATCAGCAGCATCAGCATCACCATCAGCATCAGCATCATCATCATCAGCATCCTCATAATCATGGTCATCATCATCATCAGCATCATCAGCATCATCATCAGCAGCATCATCACCATCGTCATAACCAGCATCATCATCACCATCATCGTCATCGGCATCACCATCAGCAGCATCATCATCAGCATCATCATCAGCAGCATCGTAATAATCATCATCATCATCATCATCATCGTCATCATCATCATCAGCAGCAGCATCAGCATCAGCATCATCAGCATCATCATCATCAGCAGCATCATCACCAGCATCAGCATCAGCATCACCATCAGCATCATCAGCATCATCAACATCACCATCATCATCGTCCTCATCATCAGCAGCATCATCAGCATCATCACCAGCATCATCATCATCATCAGCATCATCATCAACATCATCATCATCATCAGTATCATCATCATCATCAGCAGCATCATCATCATCATCATCATCAGCATTATCATCATCATCATCATCATCATCATCATCATCATCATCATCATCATCATCATCATCATCATCATCATCACCATCACCATCACCATCACCATCACCATCATCATCAGCATCGATCCTCGATCCCCGACCCTCCTCGGTCCCCCTTGAACACGCCATCCTCCTCCACCTCTTCCTCCCCTCATCCTGGATCCTCATCGCTCCTCCTTGATCCTGGATCCTCCTGGATCCCCCCAGGTCGAGGAGCCGATAGCCACCCCCCCGCTCTCCCCCCCCACACGGCAGCCTCGGCATCGTGCCGCAGCGCCCCGCCCGCGCACTCGAGCGCGAGCCCGCACTGCCTCGCTGGGCCACCGGGCCGCAGGGTGCTGCTGGGTACGAGCCCAGCCTGCCCCCAACTGGCCGTCCTCCCCAAAATAAGTCATCCTCCTCCTCCTCTTCCATCCTCCAGCCCCCACTCGCCATCCTCCCTTCTCCATCCACCACCATCCTCCATCCTCCGTCCTCCTTCTCGCCCACCTGATCCTCACCCATCGTCCTCATAAACCATCGCCCATGTGTTGTTTACCTCCTCGGGGCCGTGAACTGGATTTATTCCACTCCCGACTAACTGGGCCTGTCAATGCCAGTTTGTCTACGCACTATGGCGCACTGGCCACCCCCCCACCTTTCAAAAAACCTGACTCGGGGTGGAGGGCTGTCCGTGACACTTCGGTGTCACTCATACGGCCGCCTCGTCCACGCTCCAGCCACAAGGGTTACGGTTCGACCCGTGCCGCCACAGCGTCACATGTGCCGTTGTGGTGCCACTCATGCGGTCGCTCCCTCTCCCCGCACCCTACAAGGGTGATGGTTCGACCAATTCCGCCGCGGCGTCACATGTGCCACCGTGATGTCACTTATGTGGTCGTTCCCGCTCCCCGCCACTTCTGCGTGCTCCTCGAGGACGGCCCTGGGTGGCATAAAACATGTTCATAGGCGAAAACATCTTATTCACGCAGCCAGTCCATGCCCCACTCGCTGCTGCTATGCCCGTTCGTCTTCAGTTGCTCCCCTTGCCCACGTTGTCCCCCAGGGCTAGGCGTCGCGGTGCTTGGGGACATCGGGTCGCTTTTCGTTCTACCCGCCCCGATTCAGCGCCGCAGCCTCAAATCTCAAAACCGACTCCTGCCAGGACCCTCTTGGGTACGGGAGGCCTGTACCGACCTGGAGTGAGGAAGTTGAGCGACCAGCTAGTATGACCCACAAGCTTTAAAACAGAAAACTAATACCACTTTGCATGATAACCTCACATCTGAATACATGTATAAACGTGTATGTCCGTTCTGTCGGGTGTGCGTCTTCCGGGGGTGGTTCTGTTTTGGCCGTATCGACACTTCCTCGGCTTCAATGGCCAGGGGGGATACAGTCGGCGGACAACAGGTCACCGAACGGTCTGCCTGGGGTTCAGTACTTTGCATGTACCGTCATATCCGTGCCTCGAGGCCGCCTCGCAACAATATGTGTGCAGGGCTGGCCGACGAAGGTTGCCTAACGGATTCTCTCACTGGGGAAATTCTGTGGGTTGGTCCCGCTCGACTTTGCTGTGCCCGGGCGGGGGTGGACATATCCTGCCCCCAGCTCCAGCCTGCATGATGAGGGATCTGCTGGCCCCCGGATATCTGTCCTCACTTCAGGGAGCTCGGTTTTGCTTTTCCCCTGCCCTCCCCCTCCTCCCGGGGGTAGGGCACTGTTTCTTGCCTCATTCAGGCCCTCCTCATTCAGGATCCCAGCGGTCAGGTCTCGGCTTCACGAACGGCCAAACGATCCTGGACATCGGCCTCTACTCCCTCCCCTCCTCTGGCGAGGACCATCATGGCCTAGGCCCCTCCGGTGGTGACCATCATAGGCGCCACCCTTCGGCAGCTACCATCATAGGGGCTGCCAGGGTCCCACTCCCATCAGCACACCAATGCAGGAAGCCGTCATCGGCAACGGAGGGGGCCGAAACCCTCCCTACAGCCCCTCGGCCAACGAAGGCGGCCGTAGGGAGGATCCTCGGAGGGGTGCCAACGTACCTCCACAATTCAGACCCGAATACCTGAAGGCGCCAATTGCCACCATCCAGCGTTCTCATCCTGCCCTTCCGCCTCCTCCTCCTTCTCCTCTTCCTCCTCCTCCTCCTCCCCCTCCTCCTCCTCCTCCTCCTCCTCCTCCTCCTCCTTCTGACCAGCACCCCGCCTTCTCAAAAGGCCAGCACCGAACGAGTGATATGGATTCTGATTGTCTGGCATGGCGCAAGCATTTCCCATTGCTCCGTAGACAACGGCTATCACACATCCGTGAATACGCTGGTCTGTTTCAGTTCAGAAATGCCCGCTCTGACATTGCCAGCTTGACCAAGGTGCGTGCGCACCTCGACCCTCACGAGGAAGGGATCGATGAGAGATTCGTGGAGGCGTCAAGGCAACGGATGTGCCCACACTGCAGCAAAGCAAGGTGCCCTGACCCACCCTCGGGCGTCCAGTACTGAGCACGAGAAGATGGATGCTACCATGGCTACGGCGTGCGCTGTCGATCGTCTGGCTGCGAAATTATTACGTCTCGGGCCTCGCCTCAAGTTGAATGGTGTCGATTCTCGGCCTGCGGCCCGAGTGCCGCCAGCGCCGCTCGATGTTCGCTCTCATGACTGGCATAGCCACGACAACATGTGGCGTTGTTCGGTGTGCCAGCGGGGATCCAGGTCTGTGTTGAAGCCTACTCCTGGGCAGTGCCCTGGGCCGGTCCAGCATGACATGAATGTTACCGAGGCCTTGGGTCATAGCCCAGCTCTCTTTCCCGTTTCTGACGGCACGGATTGTTTCTTGTGCTTGAGGTGTGGTGCGTTGCTCCATCAGTTAGAAACAAAATGTTTGGAGGTAAGCACCCTCGCAGGAGTGACGTCCGCATGCCTACAGACCGCGGTCCTTGCTGTCGGCCTTGATCGCAGGCTGTGATGAGAACGGGCGGGAACCAAAGGGTTCCTGAAATATGAGTAGGTTCGCTCTGTGCTCAGAACCCATCTACCCCACTGGAGCCTGCACATCTTCTCGCGCAATGCGAAATGCTCACGGCAAATAGCACAATGTATACATGATGTGTTCGACACCACAGGTGTGTCCGAGCTCGGGCGTGTCCGCCCATGCCGTTGATGCGTAGACTCACCCGCTTCATAGGGGGGCGGCGGTGGTCGATCTCTGGAACTTGGACTGGACATCGCGGTCGGAGCGTGTCTGCGCTGCGCGTTGCGATTGGCGATGTGTTGCATCCGCCCCAAGCTCCGGTCACGCGCGGCCCTTCGGGCTTCTTCGGCTGCTTCCCTGCTTGCTTGCATCATTGCGTGGATATCATGCAACTGTGACGCCAAATTGCTTGCAAGTGGGTTGACCTCAAGTGCTGGTGGCTGCGCTGTCGCGCCTGGGTCCGTAGGCGAAGGGTGATGAAGTGATAACTCATGCGCGGGCACGTCTGATCCTGATACACTTACCGCTGGTGATCGATAGAAGTCATCCGCCACGTCCCGAATCACTTGTCTCTGGGCCAAGTGGCCCACCATTTGTGTTCCGTTGGTCTCCGCATAGTGCTCGGGAAATACCGGATAATCCGTACGTGGCGTCGCTAGGCCTCGCAATGCCAAATACGTCAGGAGCGCGGCGAATGCCGGAATAAATGGCAACCTATCTGAATAGTCTGCCGATGGACTCGCATCGGGGTGCCATTCCCAGGAAGGTGCCCAATTGCTCTGGCCTGTTCCGTCCGCTCCGAGCAACCTCATCTCAACCTAGGCTGGCTGATGTTGTTGCTGCATGGGCCTCTGCTGCTCGCGCGCGGTCCGCCTGTGCCCAGGCTGGCCCCCCATTCGAAGTGCCATCGGCGAGCTTGTTAGACTGCCAGTGGCCTGGCACTGGCGTGGACTGCCGAAGGGAGAAATTGCCCTTGTGGCGGCTGCCAGGTCAGGACGTTGGTGCAATATGGCCATGCGCTGCATAAGGTCTTCATTGCTCGTCGGTGCTGCCTGTAATCCACTGGGCGCGTCCGCCCCTGACGCTAGGCTCAGCTCTGACCTCGGCTAACCGAATGCCATGGGCTCGAAGATAGTAGAGCCAGCGTTCGACCGTGGCCTTGCCGGTCCGGAATTTATGGGCGGCCCTGCTGGAGCATTGCGCAGGGCGTCGGCCCACGGATCGAACTTGCCGAGCACGTCCGACAGAATTGAGACGTCGTTGGATTGAGGCAGCACCCATGAGGATGAGCCTGCGTCGGCTGGCAAGGCTGCCGGTGGCCCGGCATACGTTGGCGCGGCTCCGCCGGCAGGTGCCCCTGCGTCTATCAACGGGCTGACGCGTGTCTCCTCAAAAACCGACGACGGAGAGTCTTGTTCGAGAGCTCTGCGAGGTGGTCTCATGGTGACTCCATGTGCATAGTATTCCATACCGAGGAACCCCACGGGCACGTCCACCCCCGATACCATACGGTTGATCGGGTTCGAACACACTGCCTTCGAATTGGACGTCCTCTGCGGAAATCGGCCAATGCCGCAGATCGTGAAACTCGCCATAGAAAATCGGGGGATTGTGCCAGACACGTTTCCGCTCTGCCTCGGGATTCAGCGCTAGCTGGATGGAGTAATTGGTCGGAATGGCGCCATCGAAACCGTCCGCCATGACGACGCCGCAGGCAGAACGCCACACCTTTGTTCCGTCTTTTAACAGGCGCGGGATGAATACGAACATGAAGAAATTCGAGTCGGGCCTGAGGCCTGATTCGATCATAGGGTCTCCTGGCAGATATGGGCATATGTGTGCAAACTGCCTACCATGCCCGCTTCTAGGTTATGCTCTGCACGGCAGCGCAGCCCGTGCTCAAGGACGCCATGGAAGCATTCTCCCCCGGTTCCACGCGCGAAGAAACTTGGGGAGTCATCGCCAACTAAATCTGCCAATGGAGAGCGCAGCGGTTCTGGACACAGGATGCCGGGAGGCAAGTGTCAGTTGGTGGCTCTGACCCACAGTGTGGCGACATCGTCGTCAGCGCGCGTGTAATCCAGCTGGGGGCGCGCCTTCGCGGCGACCGAATTGTCCGCAATCTCGGCGATGTCCAGTAGTAGCCACGTTACATCTTCAGGCGGTGGGCCAATCACCCAAGCGGCTATTGTTTCGTAGTGACGACCACCCCAAAGGTGGCACAGAGCACCCGGGACCTCTATCCATCCGTCGCAAGGGTCCCAAGACGAGCAATCCCAATCGAATCGCCGGCAGTACGGGTTGTTCCGACATGGCCTGCGCCTGCAGATGCGAGACCACCACGCAAACATAGCAGTCAG